AGATTATTTTAATAAAAATGTGAGTGGATGGAAAACAGCATTTGGGAATGAAATTGCTCTCTAAGTCTTTGTAGTTTGCATATGCGTTATGATGGAGAGACATATACAAGAAGGAAAAACATGGAAGTTTTTTAATGCAGCATGGCACTGTAATCAAGCTGCAGGAGAGTTATTAGTGCAACTGGTTTTGACAGTGGATCATGATATCGCAATGTCTGGCCTACAAAGTGTTTTCTTTTGTTCTCTCTTACTTAGTTTTGCTTGGGGTTTTGAGTCATTTTGGAGTTTTCCTATAAAAGAAAAATGGTAGGTGTATTTTAGAAATGTCATGATCACAAAGAAGAGTAAATATTAAAATTGAATTAACATGCTGTGTGGCATCTTCCATCATTTGGGGCGGAGAACAAACCATGAGAAGAGAAATAGTTGACTCAGAAGTTGAGCATTCAAGCCAATGAGTATTGGTGTTGGTACACGTACTTCATTTGTGGACCTTCTCCTTGCAGGAGGTGGATCTTTGTCCAGGTTTAGTAACTGTAACTGAAAGGTTGGCATTCAGGGCACACAATAATAGCTAGCTATGCGTACTGGCTAGGTAGCCACAGATACCCGGCAAGGATTATGCTGTGCTTTCCGTTCAGCCTGGGTGGCTGTGTGGGCTGGAGGCAGAGAGCTGCAGGTCCTGAAACAACCCCCAGCTCAGGGCTGTTCAGCTCCGTGGTGATGCTGGTGACGCAGCAGCAGGGGCAAACTTCCAGGCATCCTGTTTCCCTATGGCATTTTGTTGCTGCTGGCTGTCCTTCGGGCTGTAACGCAGGGATAGCTACATTTTGATGCTGCACAAATAATGATAAAACATGCAGGCAACGTGAGTATTAAGATAGCTTTGTGAAAAACACTCCGGTGTACTGTATAAGATGTTGGTCTTTCTGTTCAAAAAGAATTTTTCAGATACAGCTAGCCAAAACGAGATTCTTCTGAACATACTGCTGTTACTCAGTTTATGCGTATACGTGACCTTTGTTTCTTCTGCCCTCAAGCAGCTTCTTTCTGCCCTGTCCATGTAACAGCTTTCCTCAAGCTTGAGGTTTTTTGGTTTTTTGGGAATGTTGGACAAAAGTAACTGAGCATTTACATAAAGCTTCATCTTGCGAGACGCATTTCTTCTGAATTCAGAAGACACTGGAGAGCAGAGCAATGAGCTGACGTAGCAGCACATGCAGCACGTCCTCTCCTGACCCTCTCCCCTGGCCCCAAACACGCCTGGCAAATGGAGGCTTGGCGCTCTGCCATGGCCGATTACGCAAGGCTTTCTGTGTCCTACTTATCTGAACAAAGGCTGCTCTGAGGAACACGGGCATCACACCTAGGTCACATAGGCAGAAAAAGCCATCTCCTGACAGAATTTTACTGAGTCATGGTGGAGCTTTCCTTCATGGTAAGTCGGTGAGAATTGTCAGGTTTCAAATGATGGCTTGCCTTGCTTGCTAAATAAATGCAGAACCAAGAGCTTAAACTTGCTAATGTCATCCTCGAGAGGAGGAGGGAGTAGAATCACTATTTTGAGGTCTCGGGCTTGGATGTAAGCGGAGATAGTACTGAAAATCTTGCACTAAGAAGAAAACAGTTCTTTCTGTGTTGGTCATTCATTGATTAAAGAAACAACAAAAACCTGGGTACTTGCCTCTTAAATTGTAAAGGTCTAATTTGTTAGGAGAATTGGTGTTTAATTCTAGTAGTGAAAACATTGTTACCTAAATCGGTGTCAGATTACTGTTATTTTACTACCAGACCTAATGCTTTCATCAGCTCTGCTTATGTGCAATCCACTGTACTTCTGATCCTTGGAAAGGTTACCTTCGAAATTGTTTCCACAATCAGAGGCAAGTCAAGGACTCCAGAGGAGACAAAATAGGCTGTAGATAATTGTGCAATTACAGATGGCTACAAATCAAGGTATATTATGACTTGAGCTGCAGCTCTTGAAGAGAGCCTGTTACTTTTTAACATTCAGAACACTGCCTTCTAGGTAAATCCTCTTACTCGGGATTTGAATTTCTATAGACTACTGTCTGCCTTGAGGTATTGTATGTCGTCTCTGAACTGCAGCGGCCTCTCCTGCATAATAACTATTTCACACAGCAGTAGCCAGCTTCAGTACTGCAATATTTGAGAGAGGTGCAGATGTTTGCTAGCTGCTTCTGTTTGTTGCAGAAATGGAAGTTGGAAATGATTACTGTTTTTTTTAATTTTTTGGTTCTGGTAATTGTGATTAGTGGATCTGCTTTTGGCTGATGAGTTTTACATGTTAGAATGCATGCGTGCTTTTTTTTTTTGTCTGATTTTGAATACTTAACGGAGAGCTATGTATTATTTATCTGGCAAGAGGTGTAGGTTTGCTCGTGTATGTGCATTTCAGAGGTTCTTGGTTTGAAAGGTTCTGGGTTTTCTGCGTGTTGCTTTGCGATAATTGTTTAGTGCAAGTGGTTTATTTTGCTGTAGTTATGGGCTTCGGTTTATCCATTTCTTTACTGTTTGTAGCTTGGTGAACAGTGCAGGCAGAAACTTACTACACTTAGAAAATTTTCATAATGTGGATTTTGAAATTTAAAAGCTAATGTAGCAATAAGAATTTAAATTTTTAGGAGGCATTGCTGAAATATTCCTGATTTCTTTACTGTTTGTAGCTTGGTGAACAGTGCAGGCAGAAACTTACTACACTTAGAAAATTTTCATAATGTGGATTTTGAAATTTAAAAGCTAATGTAGCAATAAGAATTTAAATTTTTAGGAGGCATTGCTGAGAATATTCCTGCTTTTTTTTTTTACTGTGCCGCACTGATACTACTGGCATATTTAAATATTAAAATGGTTAGATTTTCTTACATGGTTGCTTGCTTTCTCTCAGTGAGTCTCACTACAATAACCCTTCTGAAAAGCTACTACAGAACAGTTGTCAGTCGTTTCTCTTTAGATCTGCTTATTTTTTATAATGGTATTGCTAGGTGAGAGCAAATCTGTTCCTTTCTGCTTTATCTCTTCGTATTAATTGTTAGTGACAGTGCAAGATGACACATCTGTGCAAAATGGATTTTGTGCCATTTAGATAGGTTTACTCAATGTACAGGCCAAAGTATATAGGTCTTCCTTTTTTTCTTTTGTCAGGCAAAATGCAATATAAAGTAGAGCATTTTATTTTTATTTAGCCTTTTTTTAAGTTGCCTGCTTAGTAGAATCACTATGGTAACCGACTAAAGGATGTCTCTGAGGCACACAACCTGCATTGCAATGTAAGTGAGGGGAGATTTTAAGTTCTCTGACTGCTGAACACTAGAAAAAGGAACAGGCAAGGCAGAGAAATAAGCTAATATTTAATATTTATAAGTTGTTATTTCATGCTTGCTCTAAGGTTAAAAAGTTATTTTACAAGTAATGTGTATGTGAGTTCATTGTTTTCTGTGCTCTCTTCTGGGAATGATATTGCTTCATTAAAAATCACAAATTTGTGTTATCGTTCAACTCGAGTTTGTTTCATTTTTTAAAAGCTGTTATATATTACAAATGATGTTGACAGAAGTCAGTGAGGAGGTAAGCTGTGTCACTGTGTGCCTCAGAGCTCATGAGAGCGTCAGCATTCTCTTTTTTATGCTTTGCTATGGATAATACATTAATTTTCTAAGAATTTTTCTGTTAAAAATGTTTATTTAGAAATTTGGTAGTCTGTTAAACTCTTCTTAGAAATCTTTGAGATGTATGTTATATAGACATGCTATATATGAGGTATTATTAGGACCATGAGGAAAGTTATGTAGTATCTAGTAGCTCTGAGTATGACAATACTGAAGGTGAGTTGCATACACATCCATTAATAAGGATTTTTTTTTTTTTTTCTTCCCAGCTACACTAATAAGTTCCTCATTTCACCTAGTTTGCCATCCTGAAGAGCCGGAGCTAAATTATCTTTTTTGTGCTAACAAAATAAAACATACTGAAGCCTCAGTAATGTTTTGTGTATTAGAAGCCACCTGAAGCTGTTTTTTGTAGATAACTGTTTATTAACAGTAGTATTTTATAAGCTATCTCTTAGGTTCCTATATTCCTAGGCCTTATTCTCTATTGAATTAATGTGTTAATCCAAATTCTGCACTGTGTAGGAATTTTCTATAAAGTTTATGGAAAAGTTCAGAGGCACTTGAGTTTGTGTGCCTGTTCCATTCATTTTAATGCACTTCGTTGCATTTCAAACTGTAAATAGTGATCACTGAATTAGCATGACAGTTGTGAAATGTTTGCTCACATCCAGACTTTCTGGCAGACAGACTTCACTGCTCTGCTTGTGTGACCTCCTTTCTAGAAGAGTGAAGTGCTTGGCTCAGAACTTCTGAATGCAGAGATGTTTTAAAAGATATTTTTCATATATCTTGAGGAAAAGTGATTAAAAATAAACAAGTTTTGATGTTTGAAGTTATCTTAATACCTGGAGGAGAGGATGTAAGAACTTATGAACTCGTGTTTTAATGTAAAGGTATTCATTTTAAGTGCTTTTTGACAAGAGATCAAATTTTTAAAAAGACTTCAAATCACTCAATTTGAAGAAAGAATATTCTGTTTTTTCTAGATAGACGAATTGAGAGCTTAGATGTTTATCTCCATGAGACTATGAGCTAGTACGACTACACTCCCAGTTGTGTATGCTGAGGAAAACTTGATCTTCCAATTTTGACCATTCATTTGATGCAGTCATTCTTTCAGATGCTATCCCAATTGTTTTGTGAAGATGTCTGCTGCCATCTTACATTACTAGAAGCATTGCTATGTTTGCAATTAAAAAAATTTACTTTCCTCTAGTAAACAGTTGAACAGAAAGCAAAAATTGTTTTCTTTAAGACACATGGTAAAAGGCAGTATTCACTTTCAAGTACAAAATTGATTTATTCTTAGTAATTTGCCAAAGTGCTAGTGTTACTTCGTTTGAAAAACAAATCATTCTTTTTTTTCAGCATTTTCAGTTAGCTTTGATTGACTGCAATCCCTGCACTTTGTCTAACGCTGAAAGTAAGTAACCTATAAGTATTTCCATTTATTTTGTTGTAGATTTTTTTTTTAAGTCTTATGCTCATAACTGTATCAATTTTTAATGCACCAATCCTTCAAAATCAAAAGAGCAAGTACTGAGAGAGGGAGACTACAAAACCTGCCTCCATCTGTCAATGGAGACAGATATTCCAGTGGAATTGCAGATTGTTTTAGTAAATGGAATAAGTAAAAACTGAGACTTAGCTTATTAATTGCTCTGAAGACTTGAGTTCTAGAAGAAACTTACTATTTGACTGTTCATTTATCTATTTATTTATAAACTTAAATGTGTGCCACGGCACAAGCACTAATAGTAATTATTTAAAACTTTGTGGCGTCTTGATAATCTGTCATTTTTCAGTGATTGTTTTAATGCCATTTAAATTTATAGATCTAAAATTCGGCATCAGTCTTATGCTGTTGAAGTAAGAAAAAGTACAAAATGTAATTTGATTGTTTGTTTTATTAAGTGCCAACTATATATTCGTCTGTACTTGAACACATTAATCTCTTAGTGTAGTATGATCTGTCATATGCAGTATATACTGTAGGCTGTTACAGAGCATCCTGCAGGTATTTATCCATAGTTAGTGGAATTGTATGCAAGAAGAAGCATATGTTCCTGCATGTTTTGGAGTCTGTAAGAATTAAAAAGCAGACAGTTGTGTTGGAAATCACTCCCTCAGTTTTTAAGGTACCTTCATGCTGCTCTTAGTGTTAGACTTAGGAGGTTACTTAAGTTCAACTTCAGAAGCATTGGGTAAAGTATTTAAAAGCTTTTTTTTAATTTCTTTAATTCAGAGCTGGATGGAATTGTGAATATTCTGTTAGCAAGGGTAATGGAAGGGGGTTTGTTTACATGGGTGAAACTGCTGGATGTATCGGTATCAAGGAGCCAGCTGTGCTACAAGACCTTCTGCAGAGCTATGTCACTTATCAGGAACAGGCACAGATAATTTTGTAAAATGATTTGCAGAATTCTTCCTAAGTCAATAGGCTTTTGTTTTCTACCAGATATGTGATTCTTTATTGTATTTCATGTTAGTTCATCTTATTTCCCACTGGCTTTATCAGGTTTCACTGTATCTCTGAATTTTTGTAAGGTTTTCCCAACCCCTCCCCCCACAGTCCCCTCTGCCCCCAGATTTATGTAGAGGTATGGTCCCATGTAAGTGCTTCATTGTCCCGTGGCCTTGGGCACGGTGCCTGGCAAACCCAGAGGAAGAGAGTGAAGAGGAACGAGGGATACTTTGTCAGGTTCTCCTGCGGTGCTTAGCGGAAGTGCACTCTGACCCAGGGTGTCAGGTACCGTCACACATATGCTTGAGATTGCCTTAATCCTACCCCTTGCATTTCTAAAGGCTGGGTGAGCAAACAGCATTACAGTGAGCGTCTTCCTACAGAAATGTTTGAGTACTAAGCATGTCTTCTTTCTATTTAGGCAGTCTCTAATGTGACACCTTTGATTTCTTTACCCTGCGAGGCATGGCTTCGTTTCGTAGTTTCACACTTAAGGGGTTTTGCTATGAGGGGAAAAAAATAAAGGAGATATTTTTTTTATATAATGAACTCCGGAAACAAAAGCAGAGGTTTTTCTTTCATCAGTGCAGTGTGAAGTTTGACAATGTGGTAAACATAATGGGTGTGTTATGTGCCCTTTAGCAAGGAACATGAAAAAATTATTAAAATTTTAGATGATGCATTTCATTATGACCTGGTTTCTGAAGTGCACTAGGCTACCTTCTTTATAGTGAAGGACAAAGCAGTGCACAAAGGGAGCTTTCCCCCTCCCTTATGACCCAGAGAGAAACCCTGGAACTCCAAATTACCTGTATAAACCTGTGTGTCACACTATTCTGTAGCTTCAAGAGAAAGAAATCTGTGTAATTGAAATAAATTGAGCTTGGCTCAAACACAGATATTTTCTTACTTGTAGTCCTCAAGAACATTAGGCAAAAGTCTGTCTCAAAGGAATTTTTCTTTCCTCATCAAATCAGAATAAGGTTTACATTCATCTCAGTTAGCTTTAGCTATCTACCAGTTGATGGCTAGTCTAGGTTAGCAGTTCTCAAGTCTTAGAGATCAGGCACGCCATCTTTTCTTAAATGATTCGAGCAGCATGAGGATGATTTTCCCTCCGCTTTTACTCTTGAACAACTTTCATTTTCTTTCTCCAGCCAGCAATTTTCTTGCCTCCAAGAGTTGCTAGTAGTAGTATGGCATTCTGTGCAATTCGTATGAGGAATTTAAGATGCTTTACAGTAATGGTCAGAATACCATCTGTAGTTAACGCTTTTAGTTCAGTTTAACAGGGGAAAGGCAATTCCTAAAAAGGAAAAAAAAACCCACCTAACTTTAAGCTCTTGTATAAAGCTGGCAGTGTATACTGTAGTTTTCTGTTCTGTAACCCAGCTAGTCTGTCCCTTGGCAGCTGAGTGAAAATAAAAAATAAGTCTTTATTTCTAACTCAGTTATGTGCAGAAAATATTACCTGCATTCTCTTGTTGTACATCTCTGCTTAGAGAGATTTTATTGCTAAGTTTACTGAAAGGTTAATGGACTCTGCATTTCAGAATACAAATAAAATCCATGGGCTGCGTTTCTGCAATATGCGTCTGCAGTCTTAATGCTTTGTTAGGATACATACTCATTCTCTGTCAGTTCTGTTATATTAAGTGTAAAATATCAATGTAAACAAATACTTCTTTTGTATCTTCAAAATGTAATTTATCTTGGTTTTACATTGATAAATTTGAAAATTTATCTTGGTTTTACATTGATAAATTTTACACATTGTTTATCCCTCACTTGAAAAAACATACTGTAATTGTTGTTGTCTTTCATTAAAACCAATAATTTTGATTTTCCCACTCTTACAGTTCAGTTTCACATCGCCCACTTATATGAAATCCAGGTAAGCTTTAAGCTCCTTTTTATAAAGCGTGGTTGAGTTTCTAACTATATGATGTAATCAATCTGTGGAATTCAGATTATAGATGCTTTTGTAAAGTTAGTCTTAAGTCTCAAATCACTAAAGAAACTTTATTTGCTTTGGCTAAATTAAAAATATTTTTAAATGTGGACTGTCACGCTATAGAATGGAGTAGCTATTTTAATAAACCTACATGCTTACTAGTCTCCCAAGTTGAGTGCAAAAAAAACCCTAAACATAATTTTTAGTAAAATTATGAGGTTATATATGTATTTAAGAAGTTTATATATAGATGTTAAAAATATGTAGTTTCTCCATTCATATATATTCATATTGTTTCTCATACATACATATACACACACACACACACAGAGTCAAATCTAGCCAGTTGCTCAGGTGCTTTTTTTTTGACATGAAATTTTCAAATTTACCTGAGCATATGTGACAGAAACATATGATCTGAGGTCAACAGCACATAACGCTGTGTTATTAACTCTATATCAAAACCTATCACAGAGTTTTTTACATGTATCTTTTGGGAAATTACAGAACACTTACTGAGCTTCCAGAATATAAGTAAATTCAAACCAAGTAGCTACTGAAATAGCTATTGTATATTTGTAATTTGACTGACTTGGTCATATAACGTAGATTGTATGCCCTTTTATCATGTTTATAGGTATTATATGACTGAGGAAGGGATGTGACATGAAAACAAAAACTGTTGTAATTAAAATGCATGGCGTATAAATAAAGTACATTTTTAGTCAGTTGAAAAGGAGCTTGATAAAGTAAGTGCTGTCTTTTGATGGCACGGTGAAAAATGACTTTAGCTATAAATAAAAGATACAAATTTGATAAACAAGATATTTTTATTTTTAATGCTTTTGGTGCAAAGCTATACGACAAGACAGAAATGCCCCATCCCAAAACACCATTAAGAAACTTCATGGGCTGTTGTGGTTCTTACCTGGCCACCATCCAGATTTCATTCTGAGCACTGGAGCACATCTGACATGTTTATATAACAAAGCGTCCTCAAGACATTAGTTCTTTTGATCTGCTAGAGTAAAACAGAAAGTTGAACATCTCAGGTCACCATGCCAGGTGCCTTATATAATTGTGTGACCAATGTTACAAGTGCTTAAGCTATGCGTTCTGACTGACAGTCGTAGTCAGTGGGAACTTCAACGCAAGTCAGAGCAAAAAAGTTTCAGTGCATTCTGCTATTAGGCTTGGTTTGTCTCACAGTTCTGGTTGGGAGGGGTATCTTCTTTTCTGGAATTTGGGAAACTTGGAACCACAAAGGGTCTTGACTTCATTCTGGACATTACCTCTGACACAACAAAGAGATGTTTTTGGAGGCAGGCTGGTTGCTTGGTTTCTTTTCAAGGACACAGTGCTACAGTTTTCCGAACCCCTCCATATATTTCAAAATTATCTACTCTCTAATATTTAATTAAAAAGTTAATTCATTCCTTAATTATGTACCCTCACAGTACTGGAGTTTAAATGATGGGTTGCCAGCCTCTGAACAAGAGAATAGCCTGGTGCTGATAAGGGTTAGCAGTGGTTTTTCATGGTGTTTAATGCTAGTTTCTATTATTTTATCTGTGGCAGTGTGAGTCCCTCTAGCTATTTAGGGTAGTAGCTTATATGGTGTCTAAAGAAAGATGTTGGATTGGGTTCCCCTCCCCCTTCCCATTTCTAAGACCACTCATGATGCAGCCAGTATCAAGGACTTTGGATCTTTGGAATTAACATCTCTAAATAAAACCAAATGTAAACATTATGACAGTTTTTTGTAATATTTTAAAGCAGATATTTAGACAGATTTCTAAAGGGTAAATAACACAACAAATAACAGAAGTAAAAAATATTCTAGATCTGGAAAACATGCCCTATTTTAATAGGTCTTTCTGAATCCTCCCAAGCATGTAAACATCTCTTTCAAAGTGGGAATATTAGGCACTAATATTTACGTATTTGACGTCCGGATTGCTGCCTCTGCTGTCACGCTATACAGTGAACTTCTGTTCATTTGCTTATTCTTCATAGTCATAAACTATGAATTTTGTTCCCAATGCTAAATTTAAAATTTTTTCCTAATTGTTTTTATTTTGCTGGCCATGGAAATATTATTTATTTATATTATTTATTTTCTTACCAGTTGTCTGCATTTCATGAACACCAATTAAAAATCTTTTCTACCTTGTTCCATTTGAAAGTATGTAATTGTTGCTTTAATTTTTTTCTTGACTAGAATAAGGTTTTAAAACCAACGGAGTTGTCTTTTGTGATTGTAAGATCTCAAGAACCTAATAACATTTTTAACTTCTAATAGGTATTTATATTGTTTAGAGTCTTCTTCCCAGTTCTCCCTTTTAAAACACCAGTAGTCAGTACTGTGTACTCTTTGCATAAAACAAATGTAATGTAAGTCATGATCATTTGCATTTAGGTGGCCCCATTTATTTTAGTATGTTCTTCATCTGTTTGCCAGAATGAAGTCTAATGTTGAATTATCTGAAAGCATAATTTTCTTAAAAAATTGTATAGAATTTTTAGAAAGTTAAAAAAAAAAGTATTCTTACTAACAGACCTCAGCATTTATGTCTTCTAGACTTTCATGGGAGAGGAGGAACAGAAGACTTAAGCATTTAAAATACATTCAGTGTTAAACAACTATTGTTAGGGTAACACAAAGATAAATGCTGATTACAAAAAAATTCTTCTACCAAGAAGTCTTAACCTTTAATATATACAAAACAGCTCATACTGTTCCATAAGTCAATAAAGACCATGATCCTAACCTGGAAATGTGTTTTCTATATCAAGACCTGTTCACGTAGGGAATTAAGAACTGAATGTTTCCATGCTATAAGCACACTTAAACTATATAGCAAATAATAAGATGGCATACCTTCATTCTCTAGGCATAATCCATGGATATATTTTTAATTCTACATACGGTGGGACTCTTACCAGGACAACAAATATGTTGAAAAGGCAGTTCAAATATACCAAAGGAAGGAGAGAGGCAAAATTACACCAGCCACCAGTTACCGATGATCTTTGTTTCTGTTAAGAATTTCCTGGGAGGAATTTGTGTAGCGTTTTTTCAGATGCAGACTCACATTCAACCATTCCCCTTAAAAGCATTATATTCATTTTAGTATAAGAAGCATAATGCGCATATGAGGAGTTGACCAAATTTAATAATTTGCAACTTTCCCTCAATTATTTTAAGTACTCAATTTATATGAAATACTATATTTATGACAGTTATTCTCTTACCGTATATATACATCACTCATTAAAGCTTTCATATGCACTGTATGCAAAAAAAAAAGTTCGAGAATTTTTTTGTCAATGTGTTTGTGTGCTGTCAGTGCTGTGAAATCGTTGCTATTGGTGATCTGTTGTAAGCTTTATGATTAATCCATTTACTTTTTTCCTTTTGCAGAGAAAGTATCACTCTGCAAAGGAAGCTTATGAACAACTTTTGCAGATCGAAAACCTTCCTGCACAAGTAAAAGCAACTGTCTTACAGCAGTTAGGTACGTAAAATTAACTTTCACTTTTTCTGTGTGTTTCTTTTTTCCATCTTTGCCTTCAGCAGTGTTTTTTAAGGCTCCATTTCCAAAGTGAGTCTTAGACACAGAGTATGATAAGTGAGATTTTCACCCAAAACAGAGTGCATAACAGTAGATAATTAAGTAAATAAGAGAGCAGGAAAAGATTTTAATTAAACTTACAAAATTAAAAAGCTCTTAGACTTGCTACAGTATGCATGTTACAGGTTTTGGGCAATGAGGGGATGGTCCTTCAGAGAAGGAGTGCAGCAGTTACGATTCTGTATTCTCTGTTCTGCTTCTGAGAACATCCCTTGAATAGCCAGGCTAAATGCACTAAACCAAAATACAGAATATTCTCTGTGGCAGAATAGAAGAACATGGCAAATGAAAAATTTACTTTTTCTTTCTCTTTAATTATAGTACGTAATGAAGACCTATTTCTGTAACTAAAAAGTTTATCATCATAAGAGAAACCACATATAAAGAGAAAAAGTATTATTTTTTAAAAATTGTCATCCTCCATAGTTATAGAAAGCCAATAAATAATTTTTAGACCGAAATTTCTAATGGGTGGGTAGAATAAATTACTTTTGTCCTATATGCCTTATAAAAGTATTTCCAGAATATTTGTTAAAATTGGAATAAATTACTTTTGTCCTATATGCCTTTTAAAAGTATTTCCAGAATATTTTGTTAAAATTGTTCAACCCAGTGCAAAACTTCTTCATTCATTTTCTCCATGTTCTTCATCTAATTTATTATTCTAAATATTAATTTAGCCTGCTTATGCCCATTTTTATTTCCACCTGCCCTTTGCATAGTGGTCATTTAATTCAAATTAGTAACTGGCACTAAGTTATGGCCACAATGGTTTCATTTTTTGTAATGCAGGTTGTGTTTGGCTTTGGAGTGGGCTAATTTGTTTAACTTTTGAGTCTTCTGTGTGAAATCACAAATGAAACTCCTGGAGGAGTTCACTACAGGACTCTAGGTGCTGATCTCTTTGCTGTCACACAACAGTGTTGCTTATATTTCAGTATCCCCTTTGAATTTTTTTTAACTTGGTATTATCCCACCTAGTATAAATCGTCAGCAGTTTCATCCAGAAAGGCTATACATATGATCAATGGAAGACAGGCTTCCCAAAATAGCTGACCAATGCTTTTTCAACGCCGTTTGATGTACGTTGCCACATTAGGAGTAAAGGCTCGTGGTTGTATTCATAAAATCTTACCACAGGTCTCTGTGCTAGCAATAAGAGCAATGACTTTGAGAATTGTCTGCTGTCTGAAAACTGGATTAGCTCCCTTTATTCAATCAGCATAAGTCGCCTAGTTTTGTAGTGTGGGTAGCTTCTATGTGGAGAAAGGGACAGAGTGGTCTTAACCAGAACATTCAAGGAATAATACTGTTTCTTTTGCTCTTCACTGTTAACATTGGTATTTATCAGAGTATGGTGTTTATTGCGGATTTAGTGTCTAGCAGCTGGTAATAAAAACACCTCCTCAGGAAGCATAGTCCGGGTGGTGCACTGCTGCTTAGAAAAAATAATAGAAAATACCTGCCATCTGCCAGAATGCTACTGGCAAAACCCAATCAAAATATATTTGTATTTCTATGTTGAACTCTTTTTTTTTTTTCTTAACTCCAACAGAAAAATTGTTTTGGCATGAAAATACCCTTTATTTATTTTCCTTAGCTAGTTAATGTTTATTGAGCCAGAGTTGAAATTTAGGCAAGTTCAGATGTCTTGTGAGATAATTATTAAAATCTTTGCTCTTGTTGCTGGTTTCCAAAGCAGATCACTGTGGAGGAGAACCCTGTGATTCTCAGATAAATACGTATCGTTTGAGCTGATGCATGCTGACTAGTTCGGGTAGATGTAACAGTAAGATCTGTACAGTTGGATAAGAGCAGTTTGTTTCTTCTGCTTTGCCATTTCATTTGCTTTCCGAACAATAATTCTTTTCACCGCTTTACCTAAAATTACATAAAATTAATGAGACTGAAGATCAAATGTCGCGGTATTCTTTCTCCAGTTATACTCGGCAGTTGCATAAGGAAGAGTGTAAGAACAACATAAGCATCTGCTTAGAGGTTCTCAAAGCACTCTCCCAGTGATTTTTCGGCTAGGGACATTCCTAGGTGGTGTCCATATAATTGGATGAGACATATGAAGTGCTAAAATGGGGAAGAGGCTCATCTCTTCAGAGACTGAGATAATGATGTTTATTGGGGGGAAAAAGCAATTGCCACAAGTTCAGCATGAGAGTGATTCATAAGCATAGAGAAACCCTGCAGCATGAGCTAGGCTTGCATATCCTCTTGCTGAGGCAACACAGGGATTTGTTACAAATTAAATTGTAAAAATCTGGAAAAGAGCATGGAACGTTTGTGAAGTATGGATAAAATCTGCTTTTTTGTTTGTTATGTTAAAAATGTCCCAAGAGTGGAAGAGTAAGTCAATAGGCTAGTTGAGAATTTGAGTTAGGTCTTGCAAATGGGAAACTGCGCAGCTTACCAGGGTTTTTCCATCACTGTCTTTCTGTACGTTCTTCATTGTATGCATGAGGAGAAGAGAGATCCAGTTTCCTTTACCTGTGCTATTCTAGTAGAAAACTTTTGTTTGTTCTCCCTCACCTTCTCTCTGGCTTTCTGCCTTTTTCACCTCCCTGCACAGGAAGATAAAATCAGGAAGCAACCCTTGTTTCAGCAGTGAAACTAAATAGGGATTGCTAGTTCTCATTTCTGTCTCCTAGAAATAGATTCTTTCTTTTTATCAGTGAACCTCAGTAAAGATCTCGTGAAGGTACAACATGTTATCTTTCAATCCGGCAAGGTTCTGATGAAACAGAAAATAGGCATCACCATACAACATTTCCAAAGATTCGGGAAATTGTTTAATTTTTTTTTCCCTTGTTTATAATCCCTGAACTATTACCTTTATCTCAGGCTTTGCCTGGCACTGCACCCGATACATTTATCCTTAGTGTACAGTTACGCAGGTGCATTCTGATAACCACCCTCATATAAGCCTTTATTTCTTAAAGTATAAGTATTTTCTGTATGCTTAAGAACTTCAGTGACTTGGGATTTGAATCAAAATCATAGCTTGTTTATGAAGTCCATGAGAGAAAGCTGTGTATGTTATATGTCTGCAAAAAACATTGGGGTTTTTTTCCTTTTTTTTTTTTTTTCCTGATGGGGGTAGGGTTTTGACTTGATCCATTTTCGGACAAGATAAAGTACTCTCTTTTCAGCACTATAACCACTTGGTTGGTAACCTGACATTTCTTGTAGTCCATGAAATATTCAAACTTCTGCTTGTGACCACAGTTTCCAAGTGATACTTCTTAAAACACCTCAGGCAAATCTCATTCAATAGATACGGTTTTCTTTCAGATTGCCTTTTTTAAAGCTTGGAAGTTTGCCTTCCATTTGCAAAAGTGTTACTGTGACTGTTAAACTGTAAGTCCATGGAATAAAATATAAGCTGTATAGAACAGGTAGAATAAAATATTTACGGTATAGCCTGATTACAGAGAGTGAAGAAAGGCTGCAAATGCATCAGTTCAGTTCTCAGCCTTGCCTACTTTGTCTAGCGTTTCAGATGAGATCTGAATTTGATCTGGATCTTTTGAGTGGTATTACTTGTTCATGTAGTTAGACTGTATCAAAAAAGCATAAGCTTAGGGTGCTGAAGGTTGGCGACGGACGTTTTAAATAGACATTTAGTGCAGGTGTGTGTACAACTCTGTACGTAACTAAAACTTCATACGAACCTTTTGATATTTTATGAAATTTGTATGATAGTGTTCCACAAGGGACCGTTTATAGGCGGGATGCTATAAAAACATAGGGACAATCTGTTGACACATCTTACGTTTTACAAACGTTGGCTGAAAAGCGGTGGATTGTTAAGGCAAATACATGGAGATAAAGCAAACAGGAAGACATTGCTGACCAGTGTGGTATGTAGTGATTTCAGCAAGCCAGCTGCCTGTTACAAAGGATTTCCTTGTACTCATGGTATGAATGGCACTGAGAAGGTTTCGTGGCTGCTTAAAGGAATTCCATCTAAGCATAGAGGCAGATGAGCAGCTTGAGATGATGATGAAGGTGTTTCATTTGAAATGGTAACCAAGCCTTGCATCAGTGCTAGAGCAGAGATGCGTATTAATAGCGTCTGAAAGATGATATGGGAGTATGGATTGTTGGAGACCTTTAAAGTGGGGATGAATAATTTGTCTAATGTAATGAAAGAAAAAAAAGCATTTGAAAGAATATGATGTGTGGTTAGATGAGGAAATAAAATGATCTTTTCAGCAGAATTTGTTACATAGATGAGAGGTGATTGCATTTGTGAAGGTGAACGGAAAAGATGTTGTAGCAGTGAAGATGAAATGACAATGTAAGAAAGATGTAAGTGGAGATACAAAAATTCTTACCAATGTTCTGTTGGGGAATTGCCCAAATGTAGATATGGGATAAATACAAGGATTTAGAAGAAAAGGAGTCAACTGAACATAATGTACAGATAATTGATGTGCGTGACAGGGAGAATGGTGGCATTTTTCACAATGACAGGGAAGGTATCTGTGTTCCAAGGAGGAAAGAGTTAATGTTTTCAGGTAACTTTTTATAGTAGAAGATTGAGCAGTTCATACTTGTGCTACTAACCTCGTAGAAAGTTATTTAAACAAAAAAAACTGCTTTAAAAGTAACTGAAAGTAATTTTGACTTAGGGTCCTTTTGTCCTGTAATTTTGGTATAGAACTTTAAAAGTTTTAAAAGTTTCATTCATATACTATATGTAAGTGATATTATTGTTTGATATTCCTCTTTTAAAGAGGAACTAATGCTATGAATATCCTGCCATGCCACAGTGTTAAATAGTCTTAGGGAATTTCACTTCTGCCATTTATGGATTCTTTTGTAGGCTGGATGCATCACACCGTGGATCAGCTTGGAGACAAGGCAACCAAGGAAAGCTATGCTATACAGTATCTCCAGAAATCTCTAGAAGCAGATCCAAATTCTGGTCAATCCTGGTATTTCCTTGGAAGGTGAGAAATGACTTTATAGACACTGTAACTGTATTTGTAAATTTTTTGAGGATACTCATTATTGTGAGTATCTTACATTGGTTTTTTTCTTAATATTTTCAGAGGAAAAATGAAGGGAAAGGATGTATGTATCTACTGAAGTCTAGTTCTCTGGAAAGTGTATAAAAAGACAAGGTGCTAACATATTTGGGATGAATATAGATTAGAAGTTGAAATGAAGTATGTTACCCAAGTGGTCCTGCTTTTTTTGTAGTTATTATTCAGTTTACACATTTACAGTAATCTTGAGTCTGCCCTGCCTGGTTTTCTGTTCCTAC